GTGTGTGTGTGTGTGTGTGTGTGTGTGTGTAGTTTTGTAAACATCATATTGTTTTAACACAGCTTCAGGTCCACATCTTTTTTTCTGCATCACATTGTCAGGTGTTTTAAACTGGTCACTATTGTTAACCATTAAGGCTTTTCAACATTTGTTTATTTTTCTCTTATTTTCAGGCGTCTGAAGTAAACCTTGTTATTTTTAGATGTTCGAGTGTGTTTTAATGACTGAAGCAACCTTTGCAGCAGAGACCCTCCTGTGCCCACCAGCATCTTATTCCCCAGAGGATTCTGCTTGACTGGCTGAGTAAGTGCATTTGTTTGAGCTGAGCTTTCTTCCCGTTTACTCACAGCCTCTGTTGAGTTGCCTGCCAGATCTCCGTAATCCGCAAACAATTATCATATTTGCTTCAGCCGATGACTCGGGTTTTTTGTTTACTGATTGAAAATTAACAATTTACACAGCTGGGTTTTGTAGCGAACACCTTTGTTGTCTGGCAGGGCTCCATCTGGAATCAGAACCAGAGAACTGGTGTTTGTCAAGGTGAAACATTCAGCCAACATAAAAATATATAGTCAGGGTGAGTCTGAAAAACATGTAGATTTACTTTTATTCTGCTAAAATGTGCACCCCGCCCCCCTCCCCCCAGTTTTATCTTCTTGAGTATCCAGGTTTTTTCTTTTTCAGTTTATGAACATAACCTCCTGAGAACCTCCATCTTTATTTGAGAACATTGTTTTTAGACTGGTATGACTGTCCTTATTCAGAAGAGCTACATTTTATTTTTTATTTTTTATTTATTAAAATATAAATTAATATTTTTAACTCTTAATTGTTAAAAAAATCTGTTTTTATATTTATGAGGTTTTATTCCTAAATAGGGTAGGGGAATTTAAAAAGAAAAAAGAGGATAAAACTGAGGGGGCCACTGGGGGCAGCTAATTTTCAGGGGGGCCATGCTCCCGCCCCCCCCAGAAAAAAGATTCTGCAGGCGCCACTGGCAAGAAGCAAAAGAAAACTTGTAAAAACTGGTAAGTTACGTTTTTCTTTAACAGCCATCAGGATTTTTTTTTCATCTTTAACACCTACTTTTGGTGTTATCTGTAATAATATTGCATGCAGACACATATTAACAGGTGGATAGAACAAGAAAGTGAAAACTTGTTTTCACTGTGGTCCAAACTTAATGGAAAATGTGTTATTCATGGGTAAAAATGTTCTTAAGGGTAAATTTATTGTTTAAATGTCTCAAACACGAAACAATTTCAATGCAACTGAAACTTTTTGATTTAAAAAGCTTAGCATGAAAGTTAAATCTTTCATGAGCCGGCCTTTCCTGTGTCCGCTAGTGAGCAATAATCACTTCCTTGTGTAAACAAAGGGAAGTGATTCATAGTCCCAAAGGTCATAGAACTCCTTCAGCAGAGTCAAAAAGCACAATATTACTTATCATGCTCAAAAATAAAATAAAAAAATAAATAATAAAAAAAGTTGTATTAGTTTGCAATTTCCGGTTAATTCTGGTTAATTAAAAAGCCAAGAAGACGTGAGTGCCAGAAACGACACACTGGATTAGTTAAATTAATCTTGACTAAAAAGATGCTCATGCTGTTTTTGTTTTATTATATTTTATTTATTTATTTATTTAATTAATTTTATCAACATTGTATGGAAGCCTTTCCGCCAACCTGATAAAAAAGTAAAACTTGTATCTCATAATTATGACTTAGATATCTCATAATTATGTATCTCATAATTATAACTTAGCTATCTCATAATTATGAGATAACATATCATAATAATGAGATAGCTAAGTCATAATTATGAGATAGTATCTCATTATTATGAGATACTATCTCACAATTATG